ATCACAAGTCTTAGCTAAGAAAGAACAGGCATAAAAAAGCTTTCGTTTTTTTTCGTCTTCAACTTGTTTACTTTTCTATTTTCTGCTTTTTTTCTTTTGTTTATTTCCTTAACTGATCTTTCAAGTGTGAAGCCTTGAATTAAGCTTTTTTCATTCAACTTTTAAAATCTCATAAAATTAGGTTTGTAATCAAATAAAATGAACGATAACACTGTTCATTACATTTTTTTAAAAAAATTAAATAAATAAATAAAAAAAGTAAAGAGCGCCAAACTTTGAAAAACAAGAGCACTAATTTGTTTTTTCCTTCAGAATTTAGATGTTTTGCAGTCAGCGCGGAAGAACGACCGATTACGACGACACTGACGGTGCGGAAGAGTTCAGCAGACTAGTTCCGCACTGTGTGGCTGTATGCAGCCACTTTGTATCGTCTTGCTTTATGATCTTTAGGAAGCCTTTGAGATCTGGTCTTCAAAACTACCTGGCTTAGCCTAATCCTAAAATTCTAAGACAGAAATAGTCTTTTTCGGAAAGCCAATTACGCAGGTCCAGGATATTTAATTAACTTCTGTTTCCCGACAAAATGCTCTTCCATCACTGGCAACGCAAACGATCATTATTTGCATGAATAAACAGTTTGAGCAGAAATTCTAGAAAACTTAGCAAATCAAGACTAGTGTAAATAACGAAGAATCCTTATTCCAAGATATTTGAGGATTTTGGGTCTCATAACAATAACGATTTTTATTTGACTGCAGCCAAAAAACTAACAAAAACTTTTAAAAATTTAAACACTCCAATAACTTTTTGGTGTGTAAGTCTCTGAAAGTATATTTAGATTTGTTGAGAAATGAAATCCTGAACGGAACTGTATTATATTACTTGCGCAAACAAAGAACAGTTTATATGGGGCAACAACGACAAGATCTTAAACTGCCAATTCTAAAATACGTCCACAGTTCCAAATTTATTAAAGTCTAAACGGGAGTAATAACTGCTAATTGTAGAACGCAAAAAATCCCTTTTATAAAGTTATCGTTACAGAGTATTTTATTTGAGTAACTGTTCTAGAATACTGCAAAATAAAACTAAGGCGGCAGTTGAATCATTCACGTAATCAGCAACAAACAGCGTAGAAACTGACATTTGCAACATTTTAAACACACTCAGCACAGAAGAAGTGAGAAGGGAAGAAAAAAAAACAGTTTTCGAACTACATTGCGAC